GCCTGTTGCATCTCACAGCATCGCATTACCCTCTCTTGTTCTTATGTTATGGGGACTAACATGAGCATTGCCACATCAGATGCAAATATGATGATGGATGCAAAGACCACACCTTAGTGGCAGATCAGTGGGTGTTTGTCGGATTAGTAAAAGGGCATCTCATTTGCAATAAATTACAAGTGCCACTTGGCCCCTTCTCTAGAGCTTCCCTGACCCATATCACCACAAATTTAACTGATTGTCTGCCCATGAGCATGCCCATGATTTGCCATGTTCTCCGTGGCCCTCCTCCTCCACTTTTACGATCTGTTCAGTCATCCAGGAAATTATTTTAAAAATTCTCTGTATTTGATTAGTGGGTTCACGTGAAAGAGGAAGCTCTTGGCGAGGCTGAATAGCTCATCTCAGTCCATATTCTGATCATCGTTGATATGTTAGCTTCCCAATTCAGGTAAGGGATAGAAACTCTAGATTTATGGGGTCTCTGTCTCTAGGTTTGTACCTTGCCATGTTTAGACTGGTGACTGGAAATTCAACCCATTATGAAGTAAAAACGCATGGAAATGGCAAAGATCCATCGTAATTGGGATTCCACATATTCCTGCAAGAGTGGGCTGGTCTCCCCATGGCAGGAGATTGATCGGTCTTCTGTGGCATTTTGATGTTGTGGAATTTACAAGTTCCAAGGACCAATTGTAAACTTCTTAAACTTGGCTTAAACTATGCAAGCCATTGGCCTGCGTTTTTAATAGTTTCATAAACTTTGGGACTATTCCTGCAGATTGACAGAGGCACATGAGTGACAACTAACTTAACTCCAAGAAACCCCATTTGATTACTTGTTTTGAGAAATCACCAAGTTGGTGAATGAGGATGCTCAGTAAAAATTTGCTACCTACACTTCCAAAAGATTTTTCACAAGGTACTGTACATGGTGCTTCTCTACACGGTCAAAGCCAGGATATTAGTCATTATATAATGAGCTGGATCAAGAACTTGCTAGAAGAATGCAAGCAAATAGATGGATTTGGATTATTATGAACACTAGCAGGGGAATCTTGTAGGAACTGATGTTGGGGTAGTTGATCTTATTGCTTCATTCACGATCCAGTAGTAGATAGTGGGCCATTATATGAACACTTAAAGATGATACTAAAATGCGTGTGATTCTTATAACGGTAAACCATGTCACACTGGATTAGTTGAATCTAGATGTGTTAAGGCTTTGGTGTTTGGTTCATGACTGACAAATGATGTTCAACTGAGAAAAGTGCAATGCTTTACATATGAACAGGACAAATTCTCAACATGCCTGCATCTTTTTTCTGGAAAGAGGTGTGAAAGGAGGTGGAGGAACAAAGATTTCTGACTATTCTATTACATAGACACGTAACAGCTTATAACTAATATGATGAAGGAATAGCTAGAGCAAACAAAAAAAAATGGGATGTTTACTCTTGAGTAAAGAACACCATTTTATCCCTGCCCCAGACCTTTGGCAGGCCTCCATTGGAATGCTGTTCCCAATTTTGGTCTCTTTTCCATAATGAGCAGAATATTAAAGGGTATATTTATAGACTTATCTTCAGTTTGAAACACCTTAGATATCAAGGTAGATACAAGAGCTGAGATTTTATACTACAGGCTGAAGTTAATAAGATGGTGAAAGGAATAAACTGTGCTTGAGTTAATTCAATTAAAATAGGTTTAGAGAGGACGATAGACAACAACTTTAAGTTCTATAATACTCGGTCCAAGTATGATGTCAGAAAGTGGCTGTTTCCTTGAAGAATAGTAGATGTTTAGACGAGGTCGTTGGCTCTTGCAGTGGGCACCAATTCACTAAATCCCTTCAAGCAAGAGCTGAGCTTGTTTCTGGTGGAGACAGCAATCACCTCACCAAAAGGTAATGCTTGAAGGAGGTATCATGGCTAGTGTAATCCCTTGGACTAGTTTTGATCACACAAGAGAAGAGTTAGGTGGGCGGTTGGTTGGAAAGGAATTTCCTAGATATCTTCCACAAAACTGGATTTTTCTTTGGTTTGTTATTCCTCTCTAGGAAGTGTGATGAAGAGTGTGTATAGTATGTTGATAAACACAAGGTTTCACAGTTGAGAGGAACAGTTCCTTTCCAGTCCATCATTGTTCATCTAACCTGTTCCTCAGTTCTCACACTCCTTCAAGTGTAAAGTGCAAATGGCATGAGGTGAAACATTGCTTGGTTTTGTTTATTGAGCAGTTAAGTTGGCATCTGATTATGAGGTTGCACTGCCAACTTTGCATACACAAATTAATGAATTATTTTTCAGAGCAATGCAAAATTAGCATTAAAATTGCATCCTAATGCTCCCTGTAGCAAATTCCTTCAGATTCCTGTCATAAGTGCTTAGATGACCTCGATGAACGCTCTGTACAGCAAATATTTCTTTAACAAAAAAGGCAGCACATTTTCAGATTAAGTAGCAGCCCTTAAATTCTATATGATGTGACATGGTGTCTCCTGATTTCCTTTCATAATGTCATTGGGAACTGAGTGGACACACTGGATTATCTGTATTCCTAGGTCAAACAGTTCTTTATGATTTTGTAGAGTTCCTCCAATTTCTCATTGCAGTGAAATCCACATATAGGTATGGCCTGACTAAAATTTCAATGTTCTTGCAAACAATTTATTGGAAAAGGACAAAGGTCTGATCCACAAGATGTTTTGGTATGATCACTATTTGATCCTCTCATTTTCTCACTGTGCTTGTCTTTTTTCTCTAGTTCTCAATTTTCTCTTCCTTTTTCTATTTAAAGCAGTTGCTGTTGTGCTGCGAAATTCAATAAATTGAGAATCAATCAACTGTAACTGTTCAGTGAGTGGAATAATTCACAGGTTGCTCTTCATCATTCTGGCACTTAACTTATAAAAGTTTTAAAAATGAAACATAACAAAATATGAAATCCATGGAGAAGGGATAAATTGCCCCCCATTTCCCCTGTCCTGCAGGCGTAGATAATAGTTCAGTGGATTATGTATTGTGGAACTCTATGTCTCTCTGTACTAGATTTGTATCAATGACTTCCAAATTGTGCTTGAAAACAGGAGTTGAGTTCCTCAAATGTCCTACTCAGGGTCTTAACGAGGCTTTTAAGGTTTTTTGTTTGTAGGATATGGTCATCATAGGCTTTATGCCTGTGTCTATTGTCCAGCCCTAAATGCCTTTCAGAATTTGATAGTGAGTTGCTTTCTTGAGGCTCTGCACTCCATGACGGGATGAATCATTGGTAACTCAAGATTTTTTGAAACACTGAAGCAATTGTTGAACTTTCCTGAAGATTCCCATGCTTGCAACAGTTATTAAAGACACCCTTTCCATTTATCTCTTCCAGCTTATGGGTTGAATCTTAAGAGTTTTTTTGGCTAAGTCTGAGTTGCATCAAATTTTTTGGTGAGTTTTTCACAGTGAGGCCTAGCTTGCTGTATCTTACCAAAATTGCCTCACTAATTACCTTTCTGGCCCAACAGCATTTCTCATATCCGATTCTGGACCCATGCACCATTCTCAGAACAACTCGCGGCTCATTGGATATCTCAGAATTCACCAGAATTCATTGCTCCCTCACTATCAATGAAAGCCCATTGTTGAGCTGGAGCAGCACTGTCAGCCTGGAGCTGCCTTGTATGTTTCCATACAATTTATCCAGAGATGGTAGGGCAAAGCCTGGTCTGAGGTGGCTAGAACAGTCTTTGCCTTCTTGAGAAATGCCAACGCCTCACAGGAAGATGCTCAAAGACCTTCTCCCACTTTTCAAGTATAGATGCCACCATCTTCTCTCTGTTACCTCATACTCACTCTGTTACTACTACTGCAACGATCTCCCATCAAAGCTCATGCTCTACCACTCTCAATATTGCCTATATCTTCCCTCACTCGCTGTCATCCACCCCAGCCCTGACACCACTAACCCTGTATGCCCTCTGCACTCCCTATCATTTCTAGGATACCTCCCTACCTGCAGTAGAAATTGTGCCATCCACTTTCATATCCCTAAGGAACTATCTCACTTTCACTCCAGGAGGACAAAAGCATACAAACGGGCATAAAGATTCAAGATGGGTGGTGGGCTGTCCAACATTCAGCTCCTCACGCCTAATGTGGAGAGAGTCCTGTCTCTGATTGCCCAAGTAGCTAATAAACTACTTTCAAGACCCCAGTCTGGTTTTGGAAACTTCCCTTGACTTATTCTGCCAGGACCCCCTGAGTGAAGGCTACTTCCCTTGACTTAACTGAGTCCTAATGACAACCACACAAACTTCCTTCATCTGAGTACACGCTGAACGGCAAGGTGAGACAGAAGTAATATGAGCCTCATGTGTCCGAGGGGCAAAGTGAATAAAAGCAATGCAAGGCAGGGAAACTGAGAGTATCCAGGTATACTTAAATAGATTGAATGTGAGTGAAGAGCTCAGATGCAATCTGTTCAGTCCACGAGCTGGGTGTGTGTCCTTAAGGGTACATGTCCTTGCTGTAGCATTGCAATGAAGTGCAGAAACATGTGCTTTGATTGGAGATTCACCAGGAGGGTTGTTAGAGGCTGACAAATTTTAGATGTCAATGTGTGTGGACATGGGCCGTGTGTGGCCAGTGCCCATGGAGTGTGTCCTGAGATAATGGCGCCTAGCATCCAACATGGAGGTCAATTGGAGTTGGTGCAAGCTGAATCCACAAGGTATCTGCTCTGGTCTCTATGCTGAGTTTTCTTAATGTCTAGTTTGTTTGGCCTCTGCTGATTCTGCCAGATGTCTCACCATAGCCCACACCCTTATAAGATTCCACCCTCTGCACTGTTGTTCAATGTAAAGGCAGAATATTTGCAACTGAAGAGATTGTCAGTACTTGTAATGTCATGACTACAGTTAAAAGCAATTTGATAAGGTTTGACTCGAAACTCCACATGGAACTGATTTCTTCTAAGGAACATAAGGAAAGGCTGGACATAATTCTCGCCAGGTATGTATTTCAAAATTTGTTTATTTTGCGTCAGTTAGAGTAATATGTTAGCACCAGAAATAAATTTATTACAACACAAAGAGGAACAGTGACTGTATCCATTTTTCTCTTTCTCAAGACTTAAAGTGAGGTAAGTGTTTGTGTTTGTGTTTGTGCTATTGTAGTGAAATTACAAAGGTTCTCTTTATAAGTGCTGAGATGATGTAGCTGCAAAAAGAAAACAGAATAAATGTGTTCTCACCACACTATCTCGACCGGTACATCTTGTCCATTAAAACAGTTTTTGGTGAACCAGCTAGAGAATGAGGGTGAACAGTTCCAAGCTCTGTAATAAGTAATGCCAACATTTAATGCAGTAAGAGAGAAACAATTGGTGACTATCTGTTATTAGATACACTCAACATTGTCAGAGTCCTTGCTTGAGATGTTCTTCACCACATCATCTAATGGAATCATCACTTCATTCTCCATTGATGGAGTCTGCTCAATTTCTTGCTCTGATATCTTGTTGATTTTTACAAACGATTGATATATTTGTGCAAATGTTTTGTTTTTGGTTTCAGGTAAGACGATGTAGAGATATATTGACCCTAGCATACAAATTGCAGCAAATAGTAGGAAACAGAATGATCCCAAGTTACTCTGTAAAAGAAAAATAGAAACAAATAAGTAATCAAATTAAGATTATTACAGTTTTAAATTAAGTGCTGTACTGCAAATGAGGTTTGCTTCAAATTTTGATGCCGATTTGCATTACATGTAATTACAATTTTAGAAACAAATTAATATCAAGTGAATTTTAATAAGGACAGCTGTTAAATTGATATAATAACTGGGCCAAGCCTCATTATACATTTTTTAGCTGACAGCCCAGACATCCAATAGATTGTTGTAGCATCTGGTGCAAAGTAAAACGTTGCTGAGTTGACAGTTCTTGATCTGTGATCTATGCAGAAAATTAGATAACATTAATTAACACAAGATAAAGATGTTTAATGTGCTGGATCTGGTTGATGGACATGTTGATTAATCTATTGGAAAAAGAGGTTTAAGAAAGTAAGAAGTTGCCATAGTCTTACCAGATCATAGGGCCACTCTCTCATTAAGGAGAGATAACTGGTGGTGGTTTAACCTGAGGGTCAGGCAAGGACTAAGGTTGAGAAGGAGAGAGTCCTTCATGGTAACCTTAGCCAATGCAGGAATTCAACCCACACTGTTGGCATCCCATCACATTGCAAAAACAGCCACTGAGCTAACTAACTGCCTCACCTGGACCTGAAAATTTATCTACTTTTAAATTTGTCAATACTTCCTCATTTCTCATGTTAATCCACTCAAGAACTTCACAGTCCATCTTCTTGAATTCTGTACTTACACCTTACTTCTCCCGAGTAAAGACAGATGTGAAGTAGTTATTTAACACCCTACCAATGTCCTCCAGCTTCACACAGAAACTGCCCTCTTGATCCTTAAAAATCCCTATTCTTTCCCTGGTTATTCTCTTTCCCTTGAAATATTTGTAGAATATCTTGGGTTTCTCTGTACTCATGCCCAACAGCATGTATTTTTCATGTTCCCCTTTGCTCTCCTAATTGTTTTCTTGAGTTCCCCCATGCACTTTCTAGACGTCACTAGGGCCCCCCTTTTTATGCTCCCTTTTGTACATCTCTTTTTTTTATCCCGTCCTGAATATTCCTCGGCATCGAGGGTTTGATGGCTTTGTTGCTCCTACATTTCGTACTAAAAGGGACATGTTAGGCCTGTACTCTCCTCAATACCTTTTATGAATGCCTTCTACTGTTCCACTGTAGATTTACCCTCAAGTTCCCAGTCTATTTTGGCCAAATTCTGCCTTATTTTAATAAAATTCGCTTTGCTCCAATCCAAAACTGTTTCTTGGAGACCATCTTTTTTCCTTTACATAACAAACATAAAACATATGGTGTTGTGGTTGCTATCACTAAACAGTGCTCTCCCACTGCCACCTCTAATACATCTCTGGCTTTGTTCTCCAGAACTGGGTCCAGCATTGCACTGTCCATTATAGGATCACATACATGTTGATATAAAAAGCTTTCCTGAATACATTCAAAAAATCTGCCCTCTCTAAACCTTTTATGTACATTGATTATCTCAATTAATATTGGGGTAGTTTAAATCCGGTCATATAATTACCCTATTATTGTTTTTACACCCCTCAATGAATTGACTGCATATCTGCTGCTCAATATATAATATTGCCTATAATGCACTCTTTACAGTGTGAACTGCCCCCTTTTTATCCCTAGGTTCTACCCACAAAGTCTCATTTGATGACCCTTCCAGATATCATCCCTCCTCCTGCAGTAACTGATTCCCTAACTGATGATGTGACACAGTCTCCATTTTTGCACGCTCCACTGTCCTGCCTGAAGATCGTATACCCTGGAATGTTAACTTGTCAGTCTTGTCCCTTCCTCAGCCATGTCTCTGTGATGGCAACAAATGGGAATTATGTGTCCTCTCATAGAATCATCGAATCCCTACAGTGTGGACACAAGCCATTCAACCCATCGAGTCCAAACCGATCCTCCGAAGAGCATCCCACCCAAACCCATTCCCCTACCCCATCCCCGTGACCCTGCATTTCCCATGGCTAATCCACCTAACCTGCACATCCTTGGACTGTGGGAGGAAACAGGAGCACCCGGAGAAAATCCATGCAAAGGTGGGGAGAATGTACAAACTCCACACAGATAGACACCCGAGGGTGGAATCAAACCCAGGTCCCTGGCACTGAGAGGCATCAATGTTAGCCACTGAGCCACTGTGCCACCCATAGCTCGTCAATTTGAAAATAATGTTGGCGTTCTCCTGGTGACCTGATCAAAATATTCCCGCAGGAGCTTAATTAATTCAGTAAGGGACCTTGCTGAATGCTACATGGCTGCTGTCTTTCACAACTTGGAGAATACTTCACACCAAATATGCCACAGATTCAGAAGTTTGTTTTGAACATCCTAACATTGTCAAAGGTGTGATGAAACTGAGTGTATTTCTTTCTTTTTAAATGTATGCTGGGCTGTTTACAAATTAAAAAGCCAGTGGCTGTGGGTTAAGTGAGTTACTTCTTGATGAAGAAGGGAAACATAGTGTTTCTCCAGATCCAGCAAGTTGTGCTGCATTTTCTGCCATGTTGGTACAGGCAAAGTGGGCAAACATGCCGACTTTGGAGGGTTCAGGTGGTGATAATGGCTATGCATAGCATGGCCTGAAGTAGAGGGAAGAAATTTTGCATTTGTGTAGCACCTTTCATGGCCTCAGGATACTGCAAACAACTTTACAGTGAATGAAGTAATTTGAAGGTCTGCACTGCATATGTGTCCGGGGCACTCAATTGAAAACAGGCTTTACATCTCTTAAATATGCTATTGGGAGTCTCAATACATTTACTTACAAGTCTGATCTGACATTTGACACAGATCTGGCAGTTATTTCAGGCCTAACTGGAAACTTTAGCAAACAGAAGAATGATAATAACCAGACAATTAGTTTTATTGTTGGGGATAAATATTGAACAAGAGAACTCATCTCCTCTTCAAAAACTTAGACGGTAACATTAACCGCACAGTCAATGACTGGAAACAGGAATTCACTTACTCTTCTTGTACATCAGTTTCTGATGTGAATAATGGCAGAACTGAGTGCTTTTTTAGCAACATATTCTGCAATTGACCACCAGGAGCAATGAGTAGCAGGTAGGAAGATTTACACACAGAATACTTTCAAGGTATTTTTCTCTTCAATTAGCAAGAAATGAAATGCTGGGAGAGCAGCGCAGAAAAAAGAATATTTCAGTTTAGAAGCACACTCATTGCTAGCCTGTTTTTAGCTTGTGACAATTGCACATTTGATCAAAGATGAAGCACCACAGTGACGCTGTAGGAACTATGGCCGAACATGATTAATTGTTGAACCTAATAAGCTCAGTACAGGTCAAGTAGATTAAAAAAATGAGTATGGCATGAAAGAAGTCATTCATCTGAATGTTCATTCTAGTCCTTCTGGTATAGGCATCATAATAAACTAGCTCTAATTTATTTAATCCCTTGAGAAGGAAGAAAAATCATAAGTTAATTCATTCAGCAAATAAATCACTGGCTATTTCCCTGAACCACTTAAGTAATTTGGCAAAGCTTAGGCAATGCACCTAGGTATACAGCCCAAATTATTCAGACCTAACAAGTTCCATTCCAAGGGTGACATTTCCTTGGTCCAGATGGACTATAATCACTGGCTTCACTTTATACTTCTATCTCCCAGTCATACTTTTACCTAAATATTCATTGAATTCTTTTCAAAGGAGAATGTCAATCAACACATCTTTAATAGGTTCTCCAAGTCAAACCCACATTTCTGGAATGCAGAAGCAAAATCTTTCTGATCTGCACTGTTGCTCAAACTTGGTAATTATGTATATATGTCCTTCAGTTCTGAAATCAAACATGCATTTACATAGTGCCTTTGATGTAATGGCCCAAATTTTGCAGTAGCAATGATGGCGAAACTGAGCATGCACTATCCTTAATCCTTTGCAACTGGCAGAAACAGTAACTGCAAATGAACAGCTAAACACATAAATCCCGAAGCTTCTGTCAATGAGTCTATATATCTCTTTAGGGTGCAATGTTGAATTCCATGACTCCTGCTCACAGACTTCAATTAATTAGAAATAATGGCCACTCCCCTTTCACACTATTATTCTTGCTATCAAAAATAAAAATGCACCTTTGTTGAATGAGGTGCAACTGGCTTTTCAGAAATGTACTAAATTCAAAAATAGTGGTTAAAGATATTTGACTCCGGAAAATTAATTTTCTGTTTGTGAAGTTTTTTTGTGATACTGTGTTAATCCCATGCCCCAATTATTTATTTTATTCTCTTTAAAATGTAACTAAAATCGCAAGATAACCACCATATTTTAACATCTGTGCAATTGTTTGCATATCCTGCTTGGTGATAATACAGTTGCTGATGCCTGGAGATCCCCTTGACTTGTAACCAGATTCACATAAATATCAGCAAAGAAAGCTTGAAGGGGAACAGGAATAGGATAGGGATAATAAATGGGCCATGATCAACAGCCCGGTCAAACAGAATACCTGGGTTATATGTTATCTGGATGATTTTAAATCAACAACAGGACAAAGTATAGGATATGGATGAAGACAGAACCTAAGAAGGTAGTTTGGATTTGCCCTGAGTTCAATCCACCAGTTTTCAGTTTGTCAACTTAATAACATTTATGAAATGAAGAGTTGGGGGTGGGGAGAAGGTAGAGAGGTGTGTAGAAGGAAAGACAAGTCATTCTAGGTACCCCTGTACTCTGCATTAAATACAGTACAAACATGGATTGACTTTTATGGAGTGCTATGGTTCCTGTCCCAAACTTATCTAAGAAGTTGATGGGGCAGGGCAGGCCAGGTACAGTCTCAACTGCTGTCCCACTGCAATTTAACACTGCTTTAAGATGAGACTTTCTCCCCTGTTTTAGAATGAAGTCTTAACAGAGCTGCCAGCCAATTGGATTGACTTATAGATCCGGCAGCAGCAGATGGGTACAATAGCCATAGATGCAGCCCACTGAAGTTAGGGTTGAGATT